CTGTTCCTGTGTCTGTGTTGTGATGCTGGGAAACATCTTCTAGCCTTAATTTTCAGCATGACAAACCCAGCAGCTCAAGGCATCTGGAAAGTGAAGCCCTCAGAGTCATACAGGTGATGAGGCAGCCCAACATGTGTGCCAGCAAACCCAGTCTGCTGCCTGCCCGTCAGAACTTACAAAGGTTTACGTATCAGGCAATTTCGACTTCATTTTAAAGATGTTTGGGAAGATGAGCATTTTTGAAGCGAAATAATCACTTTAGTAGCTCTTCTCAGACACATTTTAGAGAAACTCCTAAAAATGCACCATGTTGTTATAATAACAAAATCCAGACATTTTCATTTCTAAGTCCTTAGAATAAAATTGTGCAAAATATCAAATCATCTTTAACAATACATAAAGTTAAAAAGAATTTTTATGTAGAAGCATACTAATTATTTTAGAACATAGTAGATGGGGCTGATATTTCCCTTTGTGAGATTTGTTGGGTAAGGAAATATGAAAGGTAGTTGTGTTGACCACTGGGGCTTTTCCATGGAATAATAAGAAGGTGATATGCCCAGTCCGAAAGAAAAAGGCTTTCTTCTTTTTCTCTGTGAGCACAGGAAGACTCCCACAAGGTCATTGATTGTTTAAGCAAAATTGCATCAAACATGTAATTCTAGAGCTCCTCTGTAGTTAATGTTGCTTCCAGAGTATTTTTTTCCCATCTGTTACTTAAAGAAAGCTTCAGAGAGGTAGAGCTCTTCAGACATATGAATCTGGACAGTGATTCTTGCACTGGAAAACCTATGGAAATAAGGGTTACCAACTGCTTGGGATTTGAAAGATAATTTTAAAGGAGGGAAAAAAATACCTTGCTTAACAAAGCTTTTACAGCTATGACCTTCCTCATGTATCTTTTTTTGACAAAGACTTATAATGCATTCACTGGTTAATTTAGACTAATTCCATTTCAGCACTTTAAGATAGCAATATTTTACATGAAAGATATACTAGTAGTGCATGGCATGAAACGGGAGTAAACCCAACAAAAAGTAAAATCTTACTTGTTATGAAAAACTGACAATGTTTCTGTCATTTCACATATCATTTAAAACACAGGAGACTAACGGTTTATACTGGTCAAAGCCTATCAATTCTATATTTTTCTCCCTTTGGGCTCTAGTGTGGCTGGCCTATGGTCATCTCAGCAGGGAGTAAACTAGTGTGATTTCTGGGGCAAGGATCTTGTCTTTCTTGCTCCCTCTCTTAAACTCACAGTTATCATAGTGCCTAGCACACACTCAACAAATTTTCAAGGAATGAATGTGTAGAAATTAGAGTTTATCAATTGATTATATGCCCTAATTAGCCTATTAAAGAATACTGTATGGAGAAATTAGACATTCTATAGAAAAATGGACTTTCTAAAGGAAGCGTATGTGTTCTATATTTAATTCCTTCTTACAGTAATCTTAGCTTCCTTTAAACTCAAACACTTTTAGGACAATTCTGATCTTTAAGGAATTAAATATATGAATATTAAAGGATTTAATATTTTACCTATTTAACATTTTGAAACACAATATATTAATATAGTTATTAATAATAAATTACTAAATATTAAAGTATTGAATAATTTAATAGAATTTATTTTTAATTTTTAGGAATTAAAATATTGATGTTATATTAAACATTTAATGTTATAATATGAAATTATTGCTTAATCCAATTAATCATTTAATTTAAATTATTAATATTAAAGGTATGAATATTAAAACACAAATGCAAAATATTCATTCATATGGCCAGTCATTCAACAAACATATATTAAGTACTGACTATGTGTCAGACAATGTTCTAGGCACTTGGGATGTAACAGTGAATAAAGAAATAAAACCTCTCATGGAACTTAGATTCTAGTGGCAAGAGACAGGCAACAAACAGCTGGAGAATGCACACGCAAACACATGTATAAGTGTGTGGAAGTGATAAGCTGTATGGAGCTCAATACAGCAAAATAAGGTTATAGAGAGTTGTGGAGAAGTACTATTTTATATATGACAGACAAGGATGTGCATTTGAATAGTTACCTGAACGAAATGAAGGAATGAACCAGAAGGATCAGTCGGGGAAGTCATTCCAAGTAGAAGGAACAGTAGGTGAAACAGACTTGAGTGGGAAGGATACTTGTTATGTTCAATGAAGAGCAAAATTTCTGACATGGCTTAAGAGTGAAAGACAGAGAGGTTACTAGAGGACAGCATGATAATGGGTGTATGCTATATATAGGCCAGAGTAAGGACTTTGAGCTTTATTCTAGGTGAGATTTGAAGCTCCTGGAGGATTTAGAATGGAAGAGTGATATGACTTATGTTTTAAAAGTAGCCAGACTTTCATCTGCATACTAGGGGTGGCAGGCCATGATAGGTGGACACACAGTTTTAGAAGTGGAGAGACCGTTTAAGAGGGTATGTCAATTGTGGTAGAGACCATGTCGGGATGCAAGAGGGTATTAGTGGTGCCGTTGGTAACACATACCTTTATTCTGGATATATTTCAAATATAATGCTGACATTTACCTCTGATGTATTAGAAGTAAACAGTGCAAGAGTCAAGGATGAGTCACAGGTCTTTTGGCTTGAGCAGTTGAAAAACTGGGGGTGCCATTCTAAGCTGAAGAAAACTGGAGAATGCGTGGTATGGAGGAGGAAATTAAATACAGGGTTTTAGTCATGCTAAGTTTCAGATGCCTATTAGCCGAGTAGAGGCACTGACTAGGCAGCTGGATAGCTGTATTAAGTTGGTTTTCACTCTGACTCCAGTAGCCAGGAAGCAATTTGCAGAAAGAGTTCCTTTTTTGGTCCAGGGATTGTAAATTCCCTAACCAAAATAAAAGGTATATTTTGTCCTATCTCTGCATTTCCTGTGATATTTGGAAGAACTAATGGATCTTTTATTTGTGCTTCTTTGTCTTATTGTAATTAATTAAAATTAGCCCAAGTGCCATTTAGAAAATTAGTATAGTCTGAACATAATAACAATCATATTCATCATGACCACTAATTGACTTTTTACTTTGTGCCAAGCACTCGTCTAAATATGTTATTACAGTCCTTGCCAAACTCGTATTTTATTTCAAACATACCAAACACATAACAGAGCCCTGGAAATGCTTAATAATTTGCCCATGGTTACATGGCTGAGAGGGTCACATAATTCCAAACCCTAATACTTATAGAACACTTAAAATCATGCTATAGTTTTTGGGCACAAATCATCTCTCCCTTCCATATGAATTTTTCCCTAAAAACTCAAAATGAAGCAAGAATGATGAAAGAAACATTTTTCTTTAAAGATAAAGTGTTTCTCTTAAGCAAATATTAATCTACTCAAGCATACCTAGTTACTTCTACCACCAAGAAAATATTTTTCTGATTTTTTTGCTTCACTGTCTGAAAGCAGGCACCACTATATTCCACATATCCAAATACCGCTCTACTGCTCTCCACTAAAACATTCTGGTGTCCACTATGCTCCCCATCCCATATCTGACCCCTAACACTGTCCCCATATTTCTAAACATTTTTATTCAGATTTTTGACCATTCAGCAATACTCTCTTACTAAACTATTGCTTTGGAGTGTTTAAAATCTCTTGGCAATTCCAGGTGCCATCTTAAGCATGTGGATAGTGAATAGAGAGGTGTTAGAAGTTGGCCGTGAGAGACAGGGCCAATTTATAAGATAGTATGGAGCTGGGGGACTGGATGTGAGCACAATTGCAACTGGGGGTTTCGCTTATGGTTTATAACTTTAGATAGTTGCAATTTGTTTGATGTGTATACTAGTTTATAATGAGTTGAAATTACCTCTAGTTATTTCAGAAAGAAGAAAGAAGAGAAGGAGACTGTTTGCATAAGATTTAGATCACTATTTTAGCCAACCTGTTGTATCACACCTCTGGTCTTCTCATAAAGGTGAAATGTAAACACTATCAGTGAGTAGGGAAATCATTCAGGGGTTGTGTATTCAACTCTTTGCTTTTACTATCCACTTTCAACCTAAAGCAGTATTCGTCTGGCCTAAACATTAGCTATGTAGTCTCAACTTAGATCTCTTCCCCTGCCCTCTTTAAGCTTTTGGCTCATACGCAGTCTGCCATTGTCACTCTTTGGGGTCAGGAAGGTCTATTTTGAATTCCAGAGGCATCATTTATTTTTGTGTGATGATGGAAAAGTTACTTAATTCTCTGATTCCCAGTTTGTTTGCTTTTTCATATATGAATCAGATTTAATGATACCTGCTCTGCAAGGTTGTTGGGACTATAAAAAAGAATTAAAGTGAATGAAACACATGGCATAGAAGCTAAAAAATAGTAGATGCTCAAAACACATTATTATTAAATTTCGACATGTAAACACAATGCATAACTAATTTATAATTATGACAGAAAAATATGGTGTTTTTGTTACAAAAATCCAAAAGATAATTTTAACATATACCTATGAAGATACAAGTTTCATCAAATATGAGTGTGAGTGTGTGTGTGTGCAATCTCTTCCATATATGTGTTCACACTCATAAACACATTCTCCTTTAATATTTTCTGTATTAAAGACAGCTTTGGGTTTGAAACCACAAAGAATTGGTGATGTTAAAAATAGCTATTGGATGTGATATTTATTCATAAAAATGTAAGTCATTTCTCCATACTTGGGGCACAGGTTTTCCGAAGAATTATGAAAGTCAAAACTTTAAAGGAGAATTTTTATAAAGGACACATAAGCAAAATATGATTGTGGAATTGTCTAATTCATTCTCCAAGTGTCCAACAAACTAACTAAATGACATTAGGAAAACCAAAGTGTCCACTGCATATTCAACCTTTTCGAAAAAAGTCAGTAACAAATGATGTAATATAAATAAAATTGGGGGCCGTTTTAATTGTCAGCTTTAAATTCTAATGTTTCTTCTGATAAGTCTCCTACAGGATACATTGGTCTCTGTGTTTGACAGGCACTATCACAGGTCACTCTCCTTCTGAGGGTTTGCTTCATTCTCCTGACCTTGACCTCCATTGGACTACTTCTGGATCAAAGGCAAGAAGTGAAATTCTTTCATTTTATGTAACTTTATAATGCAGTTTTTTTATGTGAAACATTGATATTCACCAAATATCTTTTATTAAAAAAATAAAGTGGAAACTAAAATTTTGCACCTCCATTTTAAACAAAACAGAGCAGCAGTTTATCTGGTTCTAAACCAAGGGTGCATTTTAAATCTAAGCTTTTAAATGAAATTTAAGTTTTCAAGTATATTAAAGAAAACCTATAAAATATAATGATTGATTTGGCAAAACATAGATCGTAATTCTGCATACGTAATAAAATATAAAACATATTTGAGTATTTTTCCTTTGCCATTGAATAGTTCATAATCTATGCCAGAATGTATGTATATTTAAAGTTTATGTCCTTTACCCTCACACAGCATATTATTTAAAGAATCCTGTTTTAAATACTACCCTGGCCAGAAAACACATTCACTTGAGTAATTTTAAATTGCTTTTATGGCAGAAAGAACATACAAAAATATCCATTGGTTATTGCTTAGTATTTATCAATCTTTAATAGTGATACTAATATGAATATTTTTGTACTTAATATGTGCTATGGAATATGTTATTAATCTTTATAACAATGCTCTGAGATAAAAATTACTATAAAACTCATTTTGCAGATTAAGAAAGTCAGGCGGACGGTCAGTAAGAGATTCTACAGAACACAAACCTAAGCAATGTGGCTCCAGAATTCTATTATAGACTTTACATGTATTGTAGCTTTGTGAAAAACTGCAAAAAGCTCAGTCATTCTTGAAATCTTATCTTTGTTGTAGCGTAATTGTTGTTCAAGTAGGTAACCAATAACCATTACTTTCAGGAAATTTTATATGTACAATAAGCATACATTTAATTTATATCGAATGTTATGTCACCTTCCTAAGGAATGTTAATGGATGTTCTGGAATAGTGAGAGGTTCTGGAGTTTCTTCAAGATCCGGGTCCAAATGAACTTACTGGTTAACAGAACTGTTTATAGTCTGCATTCCCTGTAAACATTTGGTAAAGAATGATGCAGCTAGCACGCTTTGCTTAGTCATATGTGAACAAGTAGAATTTTAAACTTATTTCCTTCAATGCTTTAAAAATTGTGCTTATTTTATCATTGAGTTTGTGTAGCTCTCTATCCCTACTTTTCTTTACTAGAAATAAAGTACATACTGAGCCATAAAAAGAGAAAATGGAAAAATGGGTTACAGCCATCTGAAATAATTATCCAGATCCAAAGAATCAGGATCATTTTTTAAAGATCACAATTCTATTTGTTGCATACACGTAATAGAATTAGCAATCAGCCAATAGCAATAGTGTAGTTTCATTTTATTTGTCGGGAGAGGGGTGGTGAGGAAGATTGGCCCTGAGCTAACATCTGTTCCCAATCTTCTTTTTTATTTTTTTCCTCCCCAAAGCCCCAGCACATAGTTCTATGTCCTAGTTGTAAGTCATTCTAGCTCTTCTTTGTGGGATGACACCACAGCATGGCTTGATGAGCGGTGTGTAGGTCTGCACCCAGGATCCGAACCAAACCCCTGGCCACCAAAAGGGAGCACGGGAACTTAACTGCTATGCCACCAGGCCGGCCCCTAGTTTCATTTTTTAATGAAGATATTTTGTCTCCATGGATACAGACAAACAGGTCAAATAAGCAAAATATCAATTTTTCCATGATATATCCTATGATACATTAATTTATTCTTATTTTATATAATCATATGAAAGTCTAAACTGCCTCTGGCCTTATTCAAGAAATCACAGTGAAATCACAATATCAGTATCATGGCAGAGTTGTTCCCTTTGTCTCCCCTCTAAGTTACAACCAGTAGGATAACCCTAGACCAACAAACGACTCGCTGCACAGCACACCAGAAACTGAGAGATCTATACATCTATACAGCGGCAGGTGAGTGGACTGGACCTCCTGGAAGCAGTGGAACCAGGGAAGTAGTGGTGGCAGCTCTTGACACCGGAGGTTCCAGGATCTGTGGGCCATGCCTGTGACCAGAGGCCCTGGAACTAGGGTAGTGCCCATGAATGGAGGCCCCAGGAATCCAGGCAGCCCATGCTCTCGGTGGTGCCAGAGATCATTGCAACCCACTACCAGGGGCTCCAAGAACCCTGAAGATACCTGTGACCTAGCTCCCTCCCCCTTTCCTGGCAGTGGTGCCTCTGACATCAGCCCTTTCCGCAGCAGAAGCTGCATCCAAGACCCCGATACCCTTAGCAGTAGTGGCAGCACCCTTGACCTGAGTGTACTAGCACAGGAGATCAGAGACTGCAGGAACTACAGCAGGACTCATGGCTCAGCCTCGCCCTCTCCCCCAACAGTGGCAGATGATGCTTGCAACATGAGGCTTCAGAAAATGCAGCAGTGGCCAGGACTCAGCCCCTCCCCTACCTCCAGTGGCACTGTCTCCAACATGGGCCCTTCTATCAGAGGGGACCATATCCAAGACCCTGACATGCCCAGCAGTGGCAGGTGGTGCCACAAAGTAAGATTCCAGGAATGACACCTATGCCAAAGACCAGAGGCTGCATGAGCTGTGGTAGCACTCGTGGCTCATCTCCTCCCCCTCACCCAGCAGTGGTGGGTGGCACTCACAACCTAAGACTTCAGGAGTTGCAAAGTGCCCATGAACCAGCCCAGGTGGCAGCACCCCAACACTGGCCTGCTAGCAGTGAGGGCTGAATACAAGACCCCAAGTCCCTGGCAAGAGTGGTGGTGTCCATGACCTGAGGTTCCAGGAACCACACAGCCACTGGTAACCAGAGCCTTTGGGAGCCCCAGTGGCACTTGCAACCCTACCCCTACCCCTCAAGCAGAGTTAGTATTGCTCACAACCTCAGCACACCTGACAGTGGTAACGATACTCATGAACTCAGTGCCCCTGGCAGTGGCATTTCCAACACCACCAGATAACCCAGGAGCAGCAGCACAGGTGCTGCAGGTGGCAGCAGCACCAGAGCCCACGGAGAGCCAGGTGACAGCAACAGTGGAACCCATGAACCTGGTTGCCCCAGTTGCAGAGGCCCTAAAACTTATCCTTCCTACCTGTAGCAGCAATACCTGCAGACTCAACAAACTTTGGACATGCCAGAAGCGCGCATAACCCCAACTCCCATCCCACTCTCCCCCTCCCCCACTACAGTTGGGGGACACACAATGCAGGCAACACTGGAAATAGTAGAGGTGCTCGCAGCCTAGTGAATCTGGTGGTGACACCAACAAATACAGTGGCATCATCATGAGCAGCAAGGCACCAGCAACCTCAGCGGCACAAGCAGCACAAGGAGGGCACTGATGATGCTTCTGGCAGAGGCAGTGGAGGGTGGAAAGTAAAGATCCTCAAATACAAGCGGAAGCAGCTGAGAAGCAAAGCAACCAAAGCCTTACCCAAATAAGAAAGGTGTTTGTTACCACAAGTGCGCCAGCAGAGGAACAACTCATTGAGGACCATTAAGGACTATAGTAACACGGTGGCACAAAAAGAAAATGACAACTCTCCAGAAAACAAACTTGAAGTCATGGAAGATTGTGATCTAACTGACAGGGAATTTCAACTAGCTGTCATGAAGAAACACAACAAGTTGGAAGAAAACTCAGAAAGACAGTACAGTGAGTGCAGGAATAAAATTAATGAGCAAAAGGAGTACTTCACCAAAAAGATTGAAATGTTAAAAAAAAAAACCACCCAGAAATTCTGGAGCTGAAGAACACATAAATGAGACAAAGAATAAAGTAGAAAGCATTGGAAATAGAATAGACCATATGGAAGAGAGAATTAGCAAGTTTGAAGATAGAAATCTAGAAATGGTTTTGGTGGGAGAGGAAGGGGAGCTATATCTTACACGATACACAAAAATTAACTCAAAATGGACTAAAGACTTGAATGTATGACCTGAAACAATAAAACTACTGGAGGGGGCCGGCCTGGTGGTGTAGCAGTTAAGTGCACATGTTCTGCTTCGGTGGCCAAGGGTTCGCCGGTTTGGATCCCGGGTGCAGACATGGCACCACTTGGCATACTATGCTGTGGCAGGCGTGCCACCTATAAAGTAGAGGAAGATGGGCACGGATGTTAGCTCCGGGTCAGTCTTCCTCAGCAAAAAGGAGGAGGATTGACAGCAGTTAGTTCAGGGCTAATCTTCTTCAAAAAAGTTAAATAAATAAAACTACTAGGAGAAAACATAGGAAGTACACTCTTTGATATTGGTCTTAACAGTACCTTTTTGAATGTCGTGTTTCCTCAGGCAAAGGGAACAAAAGAAAAAAATAAACAAATGGGCCTACACCAAACTGAAAACTTCTGCAGGGCAAAGGAAATCATCAACAAAACAAAAAGACAATCTGCCAATTGGGAGAAGATATTTGCATGTCATATATGTGATAAGGGGTTAATATCAAAAAATTTACAAAGAACTCATACAACTCAACTACAAAAAAGCACAAACAACCCAATTAAAAAAAGGGTAAAGTATCTGAACAGACATTTTTCCAAAGAAGATATACAGATGGCCAACATGCACATAAAAGTTGTTCAATCACTAATTATTAGGGAAATTTAAATCAAAACTACAATGAGATATCACCTCGCAACTGTCAGAATGGCTATAATTAGAAGGACAAGAAATAACAAGTCTTTGAGAGAATGTGGAGAAAAGAGAACCCTCGTACACTGCTGGTAGGAATGCAAACTGGGGCAACTACTATGGAAAAGACTATGGAGAATTCTCAAAAAATTGAAAATAGAAATACCATATGATCCAGCTATTCCACTTCAGGGTCTTTAACTAAAACACATGAAAACACTAAGTCGAAAAGATATATGTACCCCTATGTTCATTGCAGCATTATTCACAACAGCCAAGACTTAGAAGCAACATAAGTGCCCATCAATGGATGAATGGATAAAGAAGATGTGGTATACACACACACACACACAATGGAATACAATTCAGCCATAAAAAAAGATGAAATCTTGCCATTTGTGATAACATGGATGGACCTTGAGGGTATTATGCCAAGGGGAAATAATTCAGATGAAGGAAGACAATTACCATATGGCTGCAGTCATAAGTGGAAGATAAACAAACTAACGAACAAACACATAGATGTAGAGAACAGGTTGGTGGTTCCCAGATGGGAAGAGGTCGAGGGAGGGTGAAAGGGTAAAGGAGCACATGTACAGTGACAGGTAGAAACTAGACTTTTGGTGGTGAACATGATGCAGTTTGTACAGAAGTCAAAATACAATATGATGTACATCTGAAATTCATATAATGTTATAAACGAAAGTGACTTCAATTTAAAAGAAAAAGTGAATCAAATGGTGTTAAAAAATAAAAAAAGAACTCATACTGAAATATAGGTATGTCATTCTAAACCAGCGCAATGGAAGCCAGAAGAGAATGGAATGATGTTTTTAAAGTGCTGAAAGAAAATATCTGCCAACCTAAAATTCTACATCCAGCAAAAATGAAAGTGAAGTAAAAACTATTTTTACAAACTTCTACAGCAAGTTTTACATTTGGTAGTGAAACGTTAAAAATTTCCCTTTAAAGCCAGCCAAGTTAAAATATGCTTATTATTTGGCCTTGTGCTAGAAATAGTGGAGGAAGGATAGAGAAAGAAAAAAAGGCAAAAGGATTTGAAAGAAATTAGTAAATTCATTAGATTAATCAATTTAAATTGATTAATATAATTAATGGATTAATTAGAAAATTCAAAGAATCTATATGGAAATTATTCAAATTAATAGATGAATTTAGGAAAATTTTTAGAGAAATTGTCATCAGTTACATTTTTATGTACTAGCAAATAAAATATGCCATAGCATCAAATATATCAAATAGCAAGAAAAAATCATCCTAGAAAAATGAGTACAAAATCTTTAAAAACATTATAAAATTATTGAAATATTGTGAAAAAGAAAGAACTAAATAAGTAGAGAGATAACTATCTTCATAGATTAGAATGCTCAATATTTTAAAAATTGCAATTCTCACCAGATTGATTTACATATTCAATGCAATCTGAATTGAAATTGTAAAAGATTTCTTCATAGAATTTGACAGGCTCTTTCTAAAATATGGAAATGCAAAGGCCCAATAATAGCCAACACAGTCTTGAGGTTTAAAAAAATGGCAGGAGTTGTGCTACTGGCTGTCAAGATTTATTATAACGCTACAATAATTAGACATGTTTTATTGGCACAAAGATTAGAATAGAGAACCTAGAAACAGATCTTTGCATATACAGAGACTTGATTTGTGACAAAGGTGTCCCTGCAGAGCTGTGGGAAAAGGCTGTCTTTTCAATAAATGGTCTTGGAAAAATTGGATTTCCACATAGGAATAAGAAAAATAAACTTGACAAATACTTTACACCATAAAGTTTAATTCTGGGGTCAGGGATTTAAAAGTGAGAGGAAAACTGATACAGATTCCAGCAGATAGCATAGTAACATAGCTCTATAATCTTAGAGTAGGTAAAAATATTAAACGGTACACAAAAATCCCTAATCATAAAGATAAAATTGATGAATTAGACTATAATAGTATTTCAAAACTCAATTCTTCAAAAATTGACTCTCATTGAGACAGTAAAAGATAAAACCTCAAGTGGGAAAAGCTAACTGCAAATTTTAGTAGCAAAGACTTTACATCCCAAACGGCTAAAGTTGAAAAGATTGACAACACCAACTGTTGGATGCTCACACACTGAAGAGGGGGGTTTGTACTGTGATACCTAATCTGAAGAACCGTTTGAGAATTTTACCAAATTTGAACATATAGATATACACCTATATCCCAGCAGTTCCAGCTTAGGCATACACTCACCAATACACCCAAAGACATGTAAAAGAGTGTTCAAAAAGCATTGCTCATAATAAATGAGTGATGCCAACAAGCCAAAATGTCCTTCACCAGGTGAACGAACTCATGGATATTGGTATATTCACACAATGGAATACTATGCAGGAGCGAAGGAATGACCTACTGCTACATGCAGCAGCATAACAACAATCTCACTAACAACACTGAATGAAAGATGCTAGCTACAAAAAAGTGCATATGATGTAATCCCATTCATAGGAAGCAGGAAAAAAAGATAAAACTAAAGAATAATGTTTAGGAGCTCATACTAAAGTGGTAAAAATGTAAATTAAAAAACTGCAAGAAAGGGTGTGATTACTGTAAAAATCAGGATAGTGAATCTCTCTGAGATGGAGGGCGGGTGGAAGCATTGAGGAGGTGAGAGGGCTGTGCGGGTGCTCATACTGAGTGGTGGTGACACGATTGTTTATTTGTTGAAAATCATCGAGCTACAGATTTCTCTTTTATATACTTCTCCCTATGTGTGTTTCATTTCACAATATAAACGGTTAAAAGTAAATCATAGGACAGAATTAATACAAACTAAATGTGTTTTAAAATTGAAATCTTATTTCTGCTTTTTCATCAAAAATTAACCAGATATGAATTTTTGTTAAAAAAAAAGTTACTTATAGTAGTGATAGAACATTATTTTACAAGGGAAAAATGTTGTTAAATTTTTTTTTCACAAATAAATTAATCCTATTACCAGAATGTTAAATGAATATCATATAAAGCTTATTTTAAGCTGATTAAGTAGCTGTTCATTACTATCATTATAAGACAATTTATAAATGCTTATCTGTATGTGACATTCAACTCTGTTTCAAATACATAAACACACTTATTTCATTTATTTTAGAGTTTGAATTTCAAGGATACCATATATACAGAAAATACTCATCACAAAAGAATTAACAAAGTTCTATATTTATGCTACATATCATATTAGACACAACTACACATTTCCCATGCTACCAGTATTTCAGAAATTGACTGTTCATTATTTTAGAGTAGTTAACAAATTTAGTCCTCCTAACAAATCATTTTTTTTGAATGAATGGAGTATAAAGGTATTAGTTGAGTGAGGGGAGCCTCATTTACTTTAAATCCTAGAAATTTAGTTGTCTAATATTTTACTTATTAGTTGAAAGTATGCTTCACCCTAACTCATCAATGCTCAAGCTAAGCAATAAATCGATAAAGAACAGATTTTCTTTAAAAGGATGCATTTCATTTCTTGGTTTAATGCCAGTCTTCAAACAACTTCAGAGGCACAAGCTCCTCAAATATATTAAAATACTATTTCTTGGAAATTAAAAGAAATGTGTATCACTATGTTGATTATAACATGTAAACACATGAAGAGCATATTTAAAGCTAATTCACGTTGATGATGCTTATTTCAGACCTAAGGCAGCTCTTGTGGAAACTCTCCGTTGCTTGGTGTTCCTAACGCTGTGGAGATTTGGTCATCTGAAGCCTTTCATCCCTTCCTTGTCATTAGCTTTTGAGGTAAGACGTTTGCTATAGCAAGGTTATACATCTATTGCGTATTTAATTCATTCATTCAGCTATGTTTTTGTCTATTTATTTTGTGACTGGTACTCGTGGGAATTTTTTATCTATTCACTTACTTACCAAAACTTCTTAGCTGTGTCTCCTTGAGCTGGTTAATATTGTTGAGCCTCAGTTTTCTGGTCTCTAAATTTTGACTGATATCACTAACCTCATAGACTTGTTGGACAAATTACGTTGCATGATGTTTATAAAGAAATTAGGCCGCATATTTGGTTCTCAAAAAATAGAAGTGATTTTACAAAAAGTTCTTGGTAGAGACTCCGTCATTTGAGATCTTTCCTTTCACATCGTTAAAGTGAAAATTGTGATTAAGACGTCTTGTCAATCCTACAAGAGGTAATAGTTTTATGGAAATCATTAATGTCACTGAGACTTTTCTACAGCTGAAAAATATATGTTATAATTTGATCTTCTATGACTATTAAAACTTACCTTCTAAGAACTACATTGAACTTTTGGGTATATATTTATTGTTTCAGATCTTTTAACAACTGTTAAAAAATTTTTATTCTCATCACTAATATTATAATGGATATAGTTTTCTTCTTTTAAATTAAGGGTTCTGTTGTTTAACTTTGATGTGGAGCAACCTGCCAACATCCTCAGAAGGTGCAATACATAACCTTATTTAAGCATGAAGCATAAATGCTACCATTTCCCCCAGCATCAATGGAAAAACTAAAATAGACACCTTCAGAATTTAGTAATGATTGTGAATTGAAACAATCTCTTTGGAAAATAATTTGATGCTACCATACAAGGCATATAAGTATAAAAATGAGGAGGGGGAGATACACGTATATAAATATATAAATGTACTTATTTTACGCATGTAAATATATCGGGGAGGAGAAACAAGAACCTAACCCATGGTTGCCTGTGTGAAGGTGAATTGTGTGGCTAGAAGAGAGGAATAAGAGGAAGAGTCTTATTAATATTCTTTGGTAACTTTAAAATTTATGAACGATGTGAATATATTTTCTACTTTAAAAATCATGTAAATGTTTTGGGGCTGGCCCTGTGGCCAAGTGGTTAAGTTTGCATGCTCTGCTTTGGTGGCCCAGGGTTTGGCCAGTTTGAATCCTGGGCGTGGACATGGCGCTGCTCATCAAGCCATGCTGAGGCAGCGTCCCACATGCCACAACTAGAAGGACCCACAACTAAAAATGCACAACTATGTACTGGTGGGCTTTGGGGAGAAAAATGAAACATAAAAAAAATCTTAAAAACCATGTAAATGTTTTAAATGAAGCATAAACTCTTAGTATCAGGATCTTGGATATCAGCTAATCTAACACATTTTGTATTTAATAGACATTAAAGTTTGTATATTGTTTCTTGAATTACAACCTAAAAGCAAAATGAAGAAGCATAAATTGTATGTATTTAATGAAATTTGGAAATATACATGTCCCCAAAAGATCCATTAAAATCAAAGAGCAGTATTTTCACCTTCTCAATGAGGGAAGACATTCTAATTATAATTCTAATTATAGATATGAAAGAGAATAATTCCATTTAATGAATCTGCTCTTTAGTATATTGTGGTAGTTTATCTAAAATGCTCCAAAAGAAAATTGAGAATGTGGGATCTTTAAGTTATCCATGGTATAAACAAGTGGTAATGTATGCCTACAGAAACACATTGCATTTGGGGTTCTTTGATGATGGGATAGTGGAAGGCAGTGTAGTGTGTCCAACTTTTGAGTGAGATGAACTCCAGTGGTGAGATGATGTCAGTTTACTTATGCAGTCGATAGGTGAGAATGAGTGGTTAAGACTTGAGTTTCGAAACCGGGTTACCTGAATTTGATTCCTGGCTCAGGAACATACTAGTTATGCGTCCTTGGGCAGTTCCTTGACCACTTAAATATTCTTGGCCTTGCCTTCTTCATCTGTAAGTAGACAAAGTAACAATGTCTATCTAATAAGATTTTGAAGATTAAATGAGATACTCTATACAAGAGATTTAACAGAGTGCTGGACACACAGTACATGCTCACTAAGTGTTAGATGCTATTATTATTATTTCATATCAACTTAAAGATCCCTTGGAATAATTCTTTGCCTTGCCTTGGGATCCAAAAGTCAAGTCTGGGAAAACCAGCCTAGGGGATATCGAGGAGCCATGATGTTGAACCTTAAAATTCATGGTTATGAATTCTTAGTCTGACACTGACTCTGTGACATCGGACTCTTCACCTCAGGTTGGTCACCTGCAAAATAGGTTTAGTGAGGGCCAACATGCATTTAACTTTTACTATGTTCTAAATGCCTTACTTGTATTATTCCACTTGATCTTCATATCAATGTAACTCATGATGTAATTACTCTTAGTGTTAGTATTATGAGAAAATTGAGTTACAGAGAGGTTAAATAACTTGTTTGCATTAACATGACTAATAAGTCAGGATACAAACTCAGGAAGTCTGACACCATAGTTCTTAATCATCACATAATGATAGCAATACTCATCTACCTCGAGGGTTTTAGATGAAAAGTACAGATACAATGCAGCAAAAGTACTTTGAAAAATATGAAGAGACATAATAAAAGGTTTTATCAATTTAACAGCAAAGTGTTCTTAAAAGACTAACAGTTTGAATAATTTACCTCTGAATTATCTTTGGGTTGTGATTCGAGGAAGGAAGGACACTACGGCCAAATCTTTCAAGCTGCTTATCTACTCTTTGCAGAACCTGTTCTTGTCCATCTAGGCACGCTCATGGCCTATTCTTCAGGAGTAGACATTGCCTGTGGTTTACCACTAAAACTGTTCCTTAAAATGGTGTAATAATATTATCTACTTCACAATGTTTGGTGGAAAAATTAAAAGACACCATGGGTAGAACATAGGAAGCACTTGATACATTTTAGTTCTTATTGTTCATCTTACTATAATTACAGCTATTACCATTATTAAAACTATTACTGCTATTATTATTATTCAAATTATTATTAACTATTAAATTGCCATAGTTAAAACTGAACAAGTTTTCTCTGACCAGAAGTCAGTAACTGTATGGTAAAGAAGGGCAAATATTATTATTATTATTAATTTATTTTTTGCTGAGCAAGATTTGCCCTCACCTTACATCTGTTGCCAATCTTCCTCTTTTTGCTGAGGAAGTTTCACCCTGAGCTAATCTTCCTCCACTTTGTATGTGAGCCATCGCCACAACATGGCCACCAATAGACTAGTGGTATAGGTCTTCACCTGGGAACCAAACCCAGGACACCAAAGCACAGCGTGCCAAATTTAACCACTAGGCCACCAGGGCTACCCAAAGTATTTTATTATTAACATTTTTACCTGTGAAGCAGCCTTTTCCTTGACTTCCTTTTAAAGTTGAAGATTTTTTAAATAGCAACCAGTTACAATTCTTATTTTTCCATCGTTATTTCAAATTTGTGTTTTCCTCATATTTTTTATTTCATGTAACTTTCTGTAAATCTTTGCCATTTATCACAGTTTTAATAAAACTGTCCTTTGCCCCACACAAGGAGTATAAAAACCTAACAGCTGGCCTCAGGGACTCCGTTCAATGAGAATTAGGGCTGACTGACTAGGAGTGATTATACTACAAGGATGCAATGTTCTCATCATTTTTCTTTGTAGTTATCATTAGAATCAGTCCATTGAAGCAATTAATCCCCTTTCTTTTATAAATCAATTCACAACATCAGCCTTTGGGCCTGTAACTCTTCACTGTTTATCTAGAAGACTGGTTGGGATTTTTCTGTCATATTGCTTTATTATGTAACTCCAATTCCATAGGGTTGCATGAATACCAGTTCTTCTATACTAAGCCAGCATACTGTTGACTACACTTACAGCTTAAAACACCTACACCCGAGCACACACAGACAGTAAAATTGACCTTAAATTATTTTTCATTTAGATTATAAAACAGTTCTTATGTAGCTAAAATTGTGATTCAGAAATACAGTCTAACTGGAATTTGATCCTGTCACCAGTATGTGGGAGATTTATTCCCTTTACCTTATATCCACTAAAATATTAGGTAAGTGTGGTGTTCTTGCTATTTATAAATAGAATTTAGAGCTTCACAAATGCACAGTGTTCCGTTTAGTGTGTGCAATGATAGCCCCTGTCCCTGTACATTTCTCTTCGGATAGGTCCATCAATATTTTGACCACCAACTCACATGCCTTTTTTTTAACTTGAGTTTTCATTCACAAGAAATTTGACTGAGCTGACCCTGACGGTCTAGTGGTTAAAGTTCCACGCTCCCACCACTTTGGTGGCCCAGGGTCGTTTCCCGGTCGTGGAATGATACCACCCGGCTGTCAGTTGCCATGACTGGCCAGAGCTCACATAGAAGAACTAGAAGGACTTATAACTAGGACATACAGCCATGTACTGGGGACTTTGGGGAGAAAAGGAAAGAGGAAGGTTGACAACAGATGTTAGCTCAGGGCAAATCCTTCCCAGCAAAAAAACAAAACCGAAATTTGACAGAAAAACAATCTCTTCATTCTTTCGTTCACTCGTTTCTCACTCATGTACACATACATGTATATTTTTTTTCTGCTAGCTCAGTGTAATTTTTTCTTTCTAAGATGCACTTGTGAATTTATGATTGATTTAATTTTCTCATATCAGGAGCTTAAAAATGTCTAAAATGATGAACCCTTAAAGAGAAGATAGCGAGGTCACAGATGAATAGCTATGTTTGACAAGTATATAAGATAATGGGAAATATTTGTTTGCGTATATTTTGATACTATGGGCATAGAGTACTGGAAAAAGTATTGGCTTTGAAGTCAGACAAACCCAAGCATCATTCCCATCTCTGCCGATTGGTTGTGGGGCTGTCAGGGAGTTATCTAAACTAACCACACCTTAATTCCCTCAGCTTAGTTCCCTGAGCAAAAAGGAGAATGAAAATCTATCAGGTGTTGTTTTGATA